GGGAATGCTTTGGAATGAGCTTGTAGCAGCAAGCTGCTATACTTCAGAAACATTAACAAGCCAGAAAGATCTCAGGACAAGCCCAAGTAAAGGGGGTACACTCACTTCTGCTTCAAGTGCACAAAACCTTTTGGCACTCTTCCTTTGGACAACTGCAGTTTGCCACCGTTCATAGCCCACACCTGCAGCACCTTCACTTACCTATTATAACATGGGGCTTCTTGGCCAAGGCCAGGGCCTGGGACATGGTGTCGATTCCACCCACGACAACCGCTGCAGGACAGGCAGGAGACAGTGAACCTCTGTGCAGCACCAGCCAGCCCCCAGCATCAGTCTCCTCCTGCTCCCTCCCACCCCCAGCAACTGCGGACAAATGAAAGGCTACTTACAAGAATTCACTTTATTTTAGCACATCTGACCTTCCCAGGCCTTGTAGGCCACAGAATTAAGCCCTTACTGGCCCCAGGTATTTTATTTCCAGTTGATGAGCTACAGGCAGAATCTGTTCCTTACAGTGTAGCTCAGCTGCTAACCCAGGAGTTCCAAAAATGTCCACAAAGCTTTTATAAAGAACATCTAAAGAACAAATACAGTCAGTCTGGAGGAAAGATTAAACTCCACAGGGTGGAGCTGTGCAATTTCTCTGGACACAAACCTAACATGGAGAAGATTCTCTTCTACTTCCATCTTTAACTGCTTGGACAGAACATGCAGAAGACCCACAGACTGCTCCACGAGGAAACACCACATTTGGTCTTTCTTGCCCAAATCTGACACCAGATCTGTCTTCCAGCACCACATTTTCTCACATTTGTTCAACCTTCCATACAAATGCTCTCTACTTTTTCCCTCTGCAACCTAGAGCTGACAAACTCCCACCTTCAGGAAAACTGCTCTGCTATCCCAAAGCTACTCACTGGTGTGGACGCCGATGGAGGAGCCGAGTGCCTCGAACTGCTCTGAGATCTGGAAGGCAAGTTCCCTTGTTGGGGTGAGCACGAGGGCAAACAACCGCTGAGGTGTCTCCAGCAGGGCCTGAAGGATGGGCAAAGCAAAGGCTCCTGTCTTCCCAGAGCCAGTCTCTGCCAGCCCAATGATATCTCTGCCTACAAGGAGCAACAAGGAGGGCAAAAACTGTTACAAATCTAGATCAGAGGGAAAAGTTTCAGAGCACTCTTCAATAAAGCACAATTCCCTACAAATAAGGGAAAAAAGACACACAAAGGGTAAAGAACAATAAAGGGTTTCAGAACAAGATTCTATAATCTCTGCAGTATTTTTAGAGTGCAACTTCATGTGTACAATAATTACAATTTTGATCCTTTTATTCTCTAGTTAAACTTCTGCTCACACACAGGTTTTCATACAAAATTTAGGTTAAAAAAAGCTTTATTAATTTCTTAAACCTGACTGACAATTTATAGCCTATTGCTTCTGCCTGGGTCAGTGTTCTAGACCAGCTGTTGCCTGTTCACTGACTTACAAGGAAACAGGCCCCACTGTTTGAGACTTGGGTCATACCAACTACAGGACCACAGCAGTACCAAATCCACATTTCACAGGCCACAACTAATTCTGTGTCATTAAGAGAGTAATCTAAACTGGTTTGCAGCAGAAATGATTAGGACAGCAAGCCCTCTGCTCAAAACCAATGCAGAGGGTAGAATTCATCAGCAGAATCCATGCTGCACTCCTAAACTCCTCCAGCTGAGGGAAACATGCTGCCAACAGGCCTTAACCTGGAGACACCTTCTCAGGAAAGCTATCTTGTTTTTAATTCCAAGAGAATCTTATATGTGGAATAAAAGAGTCTGACAACAGTTAAGTACGGAGTAGACACAGGAATTTTATTCTTATTCCATCATTACATTGCTCTGTTCCTGCTTCACTGTGCTTCAGGCTTCTCTTGGCTTATTTTTTTTTTAAATCCAATCAAATATTCTGGAGGCACAAATATTTGCTGAATTCAGAAATTTATTTTCTTGTAATTCTTGGATGTTTAGAGAGTCACTGTGGTTTGGTTATTACTCACTCCAGAAATCTAACTTTAAGAAACCGCCTGCTGAGAGCAAAGCGGATGATGTAGATGTTACAATCAATCAATCAGGGCACCTCCAGTTTCAGTCACATGCTGCAGGACTCTGAGAGGAGAGGCACAGTCCAAGTCTGCCAGATGCTTCCTGTGAATCCTTGAGCATTCCAGAAAGGAAAAGGTTGATGCTCAAATGACTAGCAGCTCAGGTGACTGACAACAGCTCTTATTTAACACTGTCAGAACTGTGCAGCAGCAGGGAACACTCAAGAACCCACCTTTGCACCCATTTGAAAGTCTGCAATTGCAGGCAGCATTCTAAATGAGCAGTTGAATTAGTATTCCAAGCTCCAGCTGGGAAGGGTGCAAGAATGAACACAGAGACTACTCCTAGATACAGATCTTCAATGACGAATAAGTGAGAACACTCTCAACCTTGCCACTTCACACTCAGCAAAATTCACACATAACTAGTGGGGTATCCCCAGATTTGGGATCAGAGAAGCACATTACTCACCTTGGAGAGCTAACGGAATAGCCTCAACTTGGATCTTTGTTGGCACCTTCCATCCTAACTGGTCACAAGCTTCACACAGGACATCAGTCACTCCCTGAACATTAGTGAAAAGGGAAAAAGACATCACTAAAGCAACCTAAATTAGGTCATAAAGTTGAATACACTCCACAACAGAGACAAGTTTGTATCTAGAAGAGACAAACTCCATCAGGCCCTCAATGCAACTACATGAAAGAGTAGGCTGCTGCTCGCAGTGACCCCCACCTCCCCCAGTAACTTCACAGGTTCATTCAAAACCTTCAGAGGCGACTATCGTCAGTAAGAAACTAACCATTTTTTGCCTATTTTACACAAAGACCTTTCCACACACCCCTAGGTGTCTCTCCTCCGCTCTGGGGATATCCCATGAGCGTGGAAAAGGGAACAGTCCCGAAAGCACAGGCCGCGGGCGCAGGCGCACAGCCCAGAGCGGCAACGCAAACCCCGGCAGAGCCGAGCCCCGGGCCCCCCAG